GATCATTTAATATGCAATTAATTTCGGAGTTACCTTGTTAAAGAGTGTGGGAGAGTCGACCGTAATCTTTTTCCCCATATTCCAATTGGGATGCTTTAAAGCATTTGCTACATTCACATCATTCAACTTATCAACCCACAAATCTCTATCTAATCATACACACTTTGATTTAACAAAATTTTTTCATAAATATTACAAAGGAAATAAACAGAGTGCTTAAATATAAGAAAGATTCAATTTTGTTTCCCAAAAGAGGAAAAAAAAAGTTGCTAGATGCAGTTCAATTTTGTATAAAGCACGTAATTGGACTTGGGGAAAAATCAGTAAACCCATCTAACTTTTATATCCATATGAAAATTCCAAATTCCAAAAAAATAAATAAATAAATAAATAAAATAAAATCTTCCTTAAAAAATTGCCTAACCAGAATGCTCCTCCTGATGTCGTCAAAATTATGCGCCTCAAAGCACCTTCGGGCAAGCCTTGTATGCACTAAAACATATACAAAATACACGATAATAAAAAGAACATTTTTTCACAATACAAAATAATTTGCTAATCATTTATTACTTTTCTGCTAAACCATACGGATGCACCTTATTAGAATTTCGACGTACCTGAAATATAGCTGAATGTTCGGAATCTGCCGGAAGAATCTTAACTTTGTGCTTGTGTGCAAGAGGAAGAACAAAAGGCCCTCCAGCAATTAATGTCTCTTTATTAGCCAAAGCTATGTCTTTTCCTGCTGTTATGGCGGCTACAGTAGGCTAAATTTGCCAAATTTAACATTAGATTCCACATCGATTATCCATTTATAATCTAGAAAAGATGAGCCATAGGAAAAAAATGTATAAATGATTTACCTTCAAAACCTGCACATCCATCAATCCCCGTCACCACAGTAACAACATCTGAATGCCGAGCGACCTGGAATAAGAGGTTCGTTACAACAGATGTTAGAAAAGCATATAAATAATTAAATAAAACCAACAGAGAATAAGTAAGTATACGATTAAAAGCTATTGAACAATGTGTGAAAACTAACCTCAATGATTCCCTCCTCTCCCGGTATGATCTCGAGCTTTTCTTCAACATCAGCTAGAGCCTCCTTGAGCTCATCGATAAGCAACTCGTCACGAACAGAAACTAATTGAGGTCAAAACATCTTCATCTACATGAGGGGCACCGGATTGAAATCCATAAATTGAACTTAATTCAATCATTTTTTAAAAGCAAAAGTGGTTGAATAAAAGCCAAAAGTTTAGTGTGCTGAAAGTTGAGTGTTTTGCAAATAGTATGTAAAAAATTTCTTTCATTGTATGTAAATTGCAGATAAGAATCGGTTTCATATTCGGATTGGGTTATGTAAAGCTGATGATTACTTTCCTTCGGTTGAGCTATTTTCTTAACATGATTCCATGACAATATTACTTTTGGATTAGACGGTCACAGTATGAGAACTTAAACATATTCTTAACAAATAAAAAAATCTTGAGTTCTTCATGTTATCAACTAATCGATCACCTGATCGGTAAAAAGAGTCACGTTTGAACCAGCGGCAAGAGCAACAACCTTAAACTTATCCGGATTTTCAGCAACTATATCCAATGTCTGAAGAAGCGAACATTAAATATACAATATATAATCAATATAAGAAAACAATATAATGGATCTCAATTGCAGAAAGTTGACTTTAGAGAACCCATCATGTGCTAAGAAAATATTCAGCCATGATCAGCCAAGCATGTGCAGACCGACTTAACGAACTCCAGTTAAAAATATTTATTAATTCTTGGTCTTAAAACGCACCATAATTTGTATCTCTCAAACCTGTGTTCCAATGGAGCTAGTGGATCCAACAATTGAAATGGGTTTCGGTCCCTCCCACAATTTTCTGTCGGAATCGACGGCAGCCCGGCCCGGCCAAGCCGGAGGAGGTGTCTGGGCTGAACAATTGACTCTTTTTGAAGCAGTGCATCCATTTTCCTTTCTCTTGAAAGAAAAGCCACCTGAAGAAAATCCAAAATTATCTTTCAAATAACCTTTTACAATTCAGTTTCTCAAAGAAAATCCCAACAATATAAAGGAGAAAACGTTACACATGCTCATACTTAAGACCAACAACGTTCATATTCATAGATTTACCGGCATGGAATTCCACGTACATAAAACACAAGCCCGAAATCCACAACCTGAATTAATCCATGGTTCAACAAAGTTAAAAAGGAAAACCTATTATTATTATCATCAGGCACATTGTTCGATTTAAAAATCCCAAAACGTTTATTACTGCAGCATTTGATTTCACATCCTCGTAGCTGGGCTCCATTTATCTGAATTCAAGTGCCAGACATAAAATTGTAACAATAATGAAAACAAACTAATAACTTGAAACACAACAGGGATTACAAAAATTTGTTGCAGAAATTGTAGAAATTTAAGTATCCTAATTCTAGAAAAAAAAAAGTTTGAAAAATAAAAAATAAACAAACTTCTTGAACTGTGAATTTACCATTTGAAATGTATGTCCTCAAGAACTCATTCTATTCCACCATGTCACTCTTTACAGAAACAATTTTGCCTCAAAATCAAGAGGAACTTCTAAAAAACTCCAGTAGAACTTCTACAAACGAAGATGTAATCTTTTTTTTTTTTTTTACTATTTATACACAAGATACAATACTGAAGGACAAACCTTATTAGTTCTTTTGAAGACCCAACACCTGGAAACTGAGTACTGGCCAACCCCCTCAATATCATTAGAAATATCCTTCCTTTCAACCTGCCCGTCGAGATCAAGTTTATCCCTATCGTAAAAAGTGCCATTAGTGTTCTCCATTACAAAGTTTGTGTCTGGATATGGAACCCTGCAAGAAAAATGAAGGTAAAGGTGACACCTACATATACATTTGGTTCTAATTGCATAAAACGTGAATGGTTTTGGTTTATGTTTAGTACATGTGGGTAGGATTTTCTTGCTTCCGTAGTTTACCTTTATATATATAGTAAATAAAAAGACAAAAGAATCAAAAGATATCAACATGAATCCACATTCCACTGATGGAATAATGCATACTTATAAAATTGGTCATTTTATGAAATTCACGGAGAACAATAATGCTCATATGATCCTTGGTGAAAACAATAGCAAAGTTGCACTCAAATGATACAACAGCTGCAGGCAAAGTTGCACTCATATGATCCTGGTGACTTGTTTAAAACAATAGCAAAATCCACGCCGATGGCAACTTATATTAAAGATTGAGATTACCTACTAAAATTGGTAAGGGAATATAAGTCCTATTTACAGAAAATCTTTGTTCAATTGTGTGGGTTCAGCTACATAGATAAGTAGTATGTAAATAGCAGATTCATTCAGTTCACAACAACCCGACAAAAGCTACCAACCTTACATAGCCAAGCAAGGAATGAATAACGCTGTCCGAGCTGCCTGCTCGAGTCTCGACAATGTTTCAGAGTGGGCATAACTGACGTTAAGCTCTTTTTCACCGAATCTCAGGGATTTGTGTTGTAGTCTGTAACAACGAACATCTTGTCCTACGGCGTGGTGGAATTCTAGCTGCGGTGAGAGCTCTGCTCGTCTAGAGTTTCCGA